TCTGTTTAAAATTAAGAAATAGGCTATATTTTAATGGTAGACGATTTATGAAGGACGGTAACCACAGAGTAAGTAATTACTTCCTTATAATAGTAACTTTTAGAATTACTTTATTTATCCAAAAAAAAAAAATTCCAAAACAATCTATCTCTATTTGGAGGAAAAAACTCAATGCAGCAATGTTGGTTGTTTTTTTTTCAGACGATTTATATTTTTTAGTACAATGTGTAATGTAATGTATATAATAATAAAATTCATGATTTTAGCGCCATCTAACCATTATTTATTCATTAAATGAAAATTAAAAGCAAATAAAAATTATCGTACTACTAATTAAAAGATAGATCGATAGATGGCGCTTATAAAGTATCTAATGAGATAGCTCTAAATAATTAGTAATAAAAGCGATTGATGGCGTTAATTGTATTATAGTATTTATATTTTAGAATTTATTATTAGATAATTACAGTTATTAATTATAATTATACCAGAGGGAGACTTTGTACAAAAGTCGATTGCTTGGGTACCTCTGTCCCATTCGTGTTTCAACCGTGAAGCAGCTGCATGGCTGTGTTTTGGTTTGAAGGGTGGGATATGGCGTGAATTTACTGGGTACAGAGGAATAACACCTGAGTCCTTAGGAATGGCAACGCATGGGGGGTATCATGGGCGAAACAGTATACTCTGTTATGTCCATGGTACTGCTCATGTCTATAGGCGACGGTTACCACTTTCCATCAGGTGGACCGTCAGCTTGTTTGCCATTCTGAGTTGTATAAAAAAATAAAAAAAATTACAATAAAATCTAAAAATAAAATTATTTTTGCACTGGAACTCGTAATGTTTAACAGATTTTTAAACCATTGTAATTTTTCAACCATTTCATAAAGGAGGAGATATTTCTTTTTTGTGTGTATGTTTTATTATTTTGACGGATTTTGATAAAACTTTTTGCAATTGATATGTTTTATACAACGTAACAATTTATAAATCAATTATTGCGCTTGTTAAGCCGAATATCCGATTTCCATATAAACTTTCAACTTCTAGTTTATTTTTTTAAATACGAATTTTTAATAATTTCAATTTTTCCTTCGTTTTTTATCTATAAAGAATCTATCGTATAAAGTTTTTTCTTAATGGTTAAAGATAGATAGTATACAGGCCTGCACTATTAGTTTATAGTAGTAGGCAGGAGGCCCATCGATTGCCAGGAATTAATCATGATGGTTTTCTGTGAGAACCGTATGGAGATCGACCTAATCCTATTAGGACGGGAGGAAGGGATTGTTAGTAATGGGGAGATTAGTCCTCATTGCTATGAATATAATCTATCAGGTCGACCTTCACGCGGTTCCCCCTGGAAACTATCGTGACTAATTTATCGTTGAATTCGTCACGATGGGCTAACTGTCTTGCCTTTTCATCTTCACCTATCACCTCTTACTGGTGCCCTGCCAGTATATACCGATAGCGCAGGCGGGGTTACCATGCCATTTTCACCCATTAAAAAAAAACCTATTAGGTCAGGGGGAAAGGGATTATTAGTAATGAGGTGTAACTCTTGTATCCCTACGATAATTTCTAAGGGGACCTCCACGCGGTTCCCCTTAGAAACCATCGTAGTTAATTATTGTCGAATTCATCACTATGGGCCAACTGATCTGACTTCATCATCACCCATTAAAAAACTTATTAAGTCGATTTTCATATTGCATGGATTGGGACCAATAATCCTCGTTACATGCTATCATTTTTTTCTACCTACAGTTTTTATAGGCAAAAACCCTTATCTTTTTGTGGAAAAGTTTGTACAAAAGTCGTTTATTTGGGCATTGTATTCAAAAATGATTCCTAGGACATATATGGATATTGAAGATAATATAATCATACAATTTTTATGATCTGTTATAAGCTTGGCTTGATAGGTACTCTAGAGGTATGCAATTGACTAGGTAGTTTTTTTTTATTTGGAAATTACTAAAAAACATCAAAGAAACGCTAAACATCTGCGTAAATGATGGACAATTTGTCCGCGCATAAACTGTGTAAATTATTTACCTAGCTACTAGCACTACTCATAGTGATATACAATATTAGGGGTTTTATTATCACCGGACTAAAATATATGCCAAGGATTATTTGAATTAAATCAAAGAAAATTAAATCTAGTAAGACATTTTTTTTTATACAACTTAGAATGGCAAATAAGCTGACGGCCCACCTGATGGAAAGTGGTAACCGTCGCCTATAGACATGAGCAGTACCATGGACATAACAGAGTATACAATTTCGCCCATGATACCCCCCCCCCCCCATGCGTTGCCATTCCTGAGGACTCAGGTGTTATTCCTCTGTACCCAGTAAATTCACGCCATATCCCACCCTTCAAACCGAAACACAGCCATGCAAACACAACTGCTTCACGGTTGAAACACGAATGGGACAGAGGTACCCAAGCAATCGACTTTTGTACAAAGTCTCCCTCTGGTAAAGTAAAACGAGGTAAATGTAAAAGGAAATTTTGTCTATGACAAAAAGTCCTTCGTCTGTGCTTGTCATATATGTAGATGTTTATAAACCACCCGTTCCAGTTTATTGTATAGATTTATGTGCTTTTTAATTTATACGAGATGACATGAAGTAAAAAAAATCGATTTAGAACATAAAAAAAACCATTTTCAAATCTACCATCTGCTCACCTAGGGCGGCGGCAGCTGGCGTCGCACGCGCAATCAACAATGCCAGCGATCAATGAACCCACGATCACGAACGACCCCCGCCCTGACTGTCCCTGCACCCTTCACTATGTGTAGGGTTGTCTATCGATCTGTTCAATGTAATAGGGAACGAAATGCGCTTAGTGCTACGAGTTTCTAGTTGACTTGCTTCAAAGAAGTTTACAACAAGTATTATTCAATATTCAGACTAATGTCCGTTGAGGGTTAGTGCAATTTTTTTTTATTTATTAGAACTTTTGATTTGGTCTTGGCTATAAAGATTGATTAAAATGTTTAAGTTCTACACATTGAGAATATTTAAGCACATAATATTAAAAATTCGTATCTATTTAATGTTTTTAACAATGCTATTTATAATTTTACCATAGATAAAAATCGTAATACGTTAACCTTATTCACTTTTAATTCTAACTAAAAACGTAGCACTCTCGTGTTGCTAAATAGAAAATAAACAATGTTCCACGTACTCGTAAGTGAATACGAAAGTGAAAACTTACTTTTTTTGTCAACCCTACCGACCAGGTAGGACGTATTACATCCAGATAATATTTGTCGGTTCTTTCAAAGTTCCGACAACTAGAGGACGAACAGCTGATTCGTAAGGATTTATGTGAAATAAGTTTAAAAGAATAAAAATTAAAGAAAAATTTGACAAGATAGTTGAGTACTGTCAACATTTACTGTTTATAGCTGTATTATATTTCATTCAGGCGTTAGTGCCATAACTATAGTCCATTGCAGAATATAGGTTTTTTCATATTTTACTATAACAAGCGGCTTTGCGGTGCTTTGCTGGTACTGCTTAGGACTTCATGGTTTTGTTTTTGATTTCATAAACTCATAAATACTGTTGATTTGACTACTTAATCGTAATGGGATTTTTGAGAAAATTCATTGTATCTATTGGCTCACATATTTAAGCATTCTAACATCAGTTTTGCAATATAAATTCTAATGTTATTAATAAAACTAGAAAAAAAAAATGCGGATGAAGTCGGGCGCGTTCATTTGTGAAAAACTAAGTTACGCAATCGTTTTTCTATGATTCTTATGTTGGATATTTTTTTTAGAAAAACTAATAGTTGGGAAAATTGTCATTACTTAGCAAAATGTCACTTCGTGAAACTTTGGCCTGTCTATAGCAAAATCTATTTAACTGATTTTGGTGTAAGTCGGAGGCACTTGTTGACTGTTGTTATTTTCGTTGAGCACATCAGAATCTAAGAGGGAAATGGATTGTTAGTATTGAAGATCTAACAGCCCCATTGCTAGCAATATCCCTATCAGGTCGACTTTCACGCGGTTTCCCCAGGAAACCATCTTGATGAATTCTTTATGAATTCTTCACTCTGGGTTAACTAACCTGTTTTATTCTATGATATGATGATAGATGTATCATCTCTCACTGGTGCCCCACCAATGTATACTGATAGCGCAGGCGGGATTACCATTACATTATCATCTATTAAAAAAATGTGGTAGCGGCGAATCTACCTTCATTTTTATTGTTACATTTTACATTAGTAGGATTCAATAAAATTTTAATTTAATATGTTACAAAATTTTATTAACTGTCAATGTTAAGGAATTTCTTTTTATGGCATATACAACAATGTAAAGGTTTTACATATACATATAATGTTTTATATGTTATTGTTATTATTAGTTTCATGTTTCAATTTTGTGAAACTGTATAATTTTCCCCAAGAAGTTTTGCTGAATCCTTCAATTATTTTTTTGTTTTTTACACATATTTTGCCGTTACGTAATAGATTTAGTAGCGTAAAAGGTTAAAAAAATTTAAGAATGGTTTAAAATTTCTTGGGGTAAACTGTTCAGTTTCGTGAATGGTGTTGGGATTTAGTTTTGGTTTAAGCACAGATAATATAATATCAATAAAAAGGGGTTTTCAAAATACTTATAAATTTGAACATAAAGTTAATTATTAACCTAAGGTAGTTTTAATTTAGTACCTTAACTTCAACGTTACCATCTAAGTTTATATATAATTGAGAAAGCTGAATATCATTTAGGTTCAATTTTCTAAGTAATTATAAAATGTTATACTTAGGCTGTACCTAATTAAGTCAGGACCAACACGCTGTGATAACGAGGCATATCATTACGTATGAGTGGAGGGTACCAGGCAGTGGGGTACGGCACGCATGTGGCCAGCCAGGACCGACGCATCTGGTGACGAGGGGGGCGCGGCGGGGGCTAAAATTAGTAGCGAAGCGCCACGTGCGCTACGGACTACGAAACGAACGAAGCCGCTTCAGTCCGCGTTCAACCACCACGACGATCGCTCGCTCCCGTACTTTCAAGTGTTTATTTCTAAAGCTACACTCTCGTTCGGACTTCAAAGACCGCAGCAGCGGCGGCAGTGATAGTGTACGGAGTGTGGTACGGTAACCGGCGCAACGGAGGCGGTGCAAGGCATGTTGATGGCGGGCGCCCTGCCGGCCGAGCCCGAGGGGCTGCTGGCTCTAGGCGCGCTGCCTGGCCAAAAAGACACGACCTGGACGAAATTATTCGTCGGCGGACTCCCGTACCACACCACAGACAAGAGCTTAAGGGAACATTTTGCGGTCTACGGGGAGATCGAGGAGGCGGTCGTCATCACAGACAGACAAACGAGCAAGAGCAGAGGATATGGCTTTGTAAGACTCTCTTTATTTGTTTATCTTATTTTATATGTTCCCGTAATAAAAACTGAAACTTGCCGCTATTTATATATATTTCATAATAAGTAATGTTACCTATATTGACACGTAAAACCTGCCCGTGCGCAGTCAACATTTGTGGCTCTGAAACGGCAAGCATATCGTACATTACCTTGTTATCGCACCTTATTGCTACCTACGAGTACAATACAACTTGAGCACATAACTACAGAAGACTAGCCATGTGAGTTATATCGCAAAATTACCCAAACACGGAAGTTGTCGCTTAACGCAGGTGAACCTACTTATTAATCTTCTAATAAATTGCAGACGGCACTTTTAACTTGGATACAGAATTAAGTTTTCAAATGTGTAAAAAATAACAGTAAATTTGATACATATAAATAACAATTTGATACAGAATTTTAGTGGCCTATCCATTTTACACAAGTAAAATATCTACAGCTTGCAGGGCAGATAACATTGTTGTGTAATTTCATATAAAAGTCCAAATCTTGACTCAATTATGATTACTCTCACAGTTAACTTTCTATGCAACACCTATGTATAATTTAATTGTGTATAATTTTCTTAATAATAATTTTCTTTAATTAAGTTGAAAAGTATAAAAAAAGGAATGAATAGTATGAGAAACAGTCAGCTTTCCGGATACCCAGTTCAACTACCATCTCTTTAATGTAATAAAGTTTGAGGCTTTTTGTATCGTGCAAACTGGGGCTCGTGGGAAATGAATCACAACCCCATTTTTCAATTCGTACTGGGGTCGCTAGAGTCTGAGGGAGGGAACTTGTCCCTTTGCACCCTCTGTGTGACATCCAAATAACTGTAATAATCGCTACACACCGTTCGCAACGTTGAAGTTACAATCCTATGCGACCAATTACGCATCGAGAAAAAGCAGCCATTATGGTAAAGGCGATCTATGTAGGAATTAAATAAAAAGTTGTCCAATGACTTCATCTGTTTCAGTGGCAGTTAATTAAATCTGTGGAGTCGATTCTGGAGCACCACTGACTATCTCTATATCTAAAGTTTATATATTTCACGTTGATATTATAGCGAAATTATTAGTCTAAGGGGCCGTTTGCTTTTAAGGGCATTTGTTTTACCCATGGGAAAATATAGCTCTAAATATCTAAAATGTCCGACATGTGTAATGGTATTTAAGTATGTTCTCCATTACACAAAAGTTTTAATATAATTGCATCAGAACTGCTTTACATTTAGTTTTTGATGGTCGATACCATAAATGTCGACCCATTCTATCGATGTTTGAGTCATGCCACTGATACAAATTAGTATATTAAAAATATCTAAAAAAAAAAAAATTAAATTTTACTAAAAACATAAAACTTTTACGTTTGCGATCTATTCTAAACAAGTAAATGAAGATTGAAATTTATCTGTCGAGAAGGGTTTTGTCCTATAAAACCGCTGAGCAGAGACACGTCAAGCCGGCCGTGCTGAAGTACTTGTCGAATACAAAAGCCCGTCATTTGATACAGTGCGGGCTGTGGAACATTCAAGACTAACATTTTATTGCATGTTTATCAAATACACAAGATTTTGATATTTCAAACTTTGAAAGAATATTAGAACGTCATCATGAATCAAGTATGAATCATGGATAAGATGAGAGAAACAATATTCACTAACGTTTTATAGAGAAATGCAAAGACAGCGATTTAGTGGCACCATGCCATATTAGTCTGAATGCGTCAGCGCCCAATCCTAAATAATCCGGAGAATATTTATCATAAAAGATTAAACCAAAGTTACAGTTTCTTTGTGTTATTTAATAATAAAGAGCCTAAATATTACGAAGTATATAAGTATTTAATATAATTTTAGTAAAACCATTTTCATTATTATCAAAAAGACGAAGAAAGCTCCCAAACGTAAAGAGCAGTTTGACCCTTGATAATCGTGACATGAATAGTCACAAGATAAAATATTAACCATAACTTTGGAAGTAATGATTATATTAATGGGTATGATAATTTATATAATAGTTACAATGAAGTACCTACTAATACAACAATTAAAGACAAAGAATGATTTGCCATGGATAATCAACAAGATTTTTTCGTTTAGAATAAATCAGAACTAGAAATTGAATTAAAATGTAGTAGGTAAGCCTTAATTAAATTTAATAGTGTAAAAATTTTTAGAAGCCTTTGGTAGATTTCTTATCGATTCCCTCATTAGTTAAGATTAATTCGGGAATAATATCACAGTAGTAATGAGTTACTACTGTGGGGAGAGGAAGCCCTTTAAAACAAAATGCTAAGTAGCTGACATGAAGACATACGAAAATGGATTAATATCCTTTATCTTTTTTAGTTTTTAGTTCATTACTCCTCAGTCTTCAATTATTAACTGTGTTCAAATGAAACTAGTATTATTTTAGTTTGTACAAATTTGAATATTAGCTGAGAGAATATTTAGAGATTTATGTAATTAATTTACTTATTGGCTTATTTATTCGTTTTAAAATATTAAACTACTTGTAATAAAATCTTAAATACTCTAAAAATATTGTATCCATCTACTATTCGATTGTTCATTATCTATTTACTATTGATCATTTATAGATATTATATTAATCATTAAAAAATTTGTAGGTTTGTAGGTATCCTTCACCGGCGTACGATAAAACTGCAATTTACGTACAGATAAGCAATACGGCTTATCTGTGCGGAACATAATTTAATAATAAACTGGGTGATAGAATGCAAATAAATAAATTGTTGAGCTGGAATAGGAGCCAGCTACTTAAAGTATGTTGAATTTATTCACAAATAATTTGCATGTCTTTTCACAATGGCGAAGGCAGGATAGTGATAGATATTTTTTGTGGGTAATTGGGTAAATGTTATTGCAATTTGATTTTACATAACCGCGCTTCTATTTATTAAAAAAGACCCATTAGAAACTTTATATAGTCTTCCTTTCTCCCTTTCCCTTTAATTCTGTTTTTATTTTGTATATATTTATTAGTCTAATTATATGTTTAGAATGCATTAATATTGTATAAAAAGCAGGCAGGTGAATTTAGTAGTCACACAGTTAAACCAAACTCGAAATGTAACATCCAAAACAGGCCATATTTGGTTTGGGTCTTAAGACTGTATGATGACTGAGTAAGAATAAAATATATGCTACTTTACACATTTTATTAGTATTATTACACTATTTTACCAGAGGGAGACTTTGTACAAAAATCTTGCTTGGACACCTCTGTCCCATTCGTGTTTTTATCGTAAAGCAGTTGTGTTTGCATGGCTGTGTTTCAGTTTACGGTTTGAAGGGTGGGATATGGCAGTGAATTTTCAGGGTACAGAGGAATAATACCTGAGTCCTCAGGAATGGCAACGCATTTGGTATCATGGGCGAAACAGTATACTCTGTTATGTCCATGGTACTGCTCATGTCTATAGATGACAGTTACCACTTTCCGTCAGGTGAACCGTTGGCTTGTTTGCAATTCTAAGTTGCATAAAAAACACTTCAGTCTCAGGATGTCATAAGAAGCAACTAAAAAAGCAAAACAGAAACCACTACACATAAACGGAAACGAAGGAAAACTTATAATGAAGCCCATTATGAAGTGGTCAAACATTTCTAATTATATAAAGAAACCTCTGTCCAGTAGTGGGACATTAAGTAGTCGTCACATTTATTGTATATTTGCCTTACTATAAAATTGGCAATATTTTATACAAGGCAAAAAAAAGTTCGACCTACATTCTGATATAATACACAATGTCTGATTTATTTACGAATATAGATAATTTAAAATTTCAATATTCATTTTGCTCATACAATGTTTTTGTTTTAAATCTAGTATGTTGTTTCAAATCGGACAGCTTAGTATCAACAATGTTTGAACTCTTTTGTTCTATAAATGGATGAATCTCACGGACGATCTATAACCAAGGTTAATAATGATGAAAAGCTATTATGTAAGTCTATCTTATATATTTTTTTTTATGTTAGTGATGCTATTTCTTTATATAAAGAAATCGGCAAAAATAGTAAAGAAACCATGAAAGTGGGTTTCATAAGATCCATATATCAATTTCAGTTACAATAGTGAAACAAAGAATGATTGATGCAAGAGTTCAATAATGGTACGTCGGCATCAAACTAAGTTCAAATAGTTATATCCTGTAGTTTGCAATGAGCTGTAAATCAAATCAAAATACTGAGAGCGCCAAATTGTATGTAATGTATAAAATATGTAAAAGGTGTTATAAAAGTATGTAGATAGAGTAAATTTCGAATGATTGAATAGGCTTTATTTTTTATTTGGGCCGCTGCTTCGTACACGTGGATTTCAGAGATAGGAAAAGAAATGAAAGAGACAACTTTTAAATAGCGTGTCAAAATGAAACATGCACCAGTTAGATCTTCAGAAACAGTTTTGATCCATCATCCAATTTAGTGTTGTAGCTTTTGCGTGATGCCGAAAAAAAAAATCGAGTATTCATCTACGTATTGTAAAATTCAAAAATATTTCGTCTGCATCTTTTCTTGACTCTTTTGTAGCATACCTCTAACGACATTCACAGAGTCCCACGGAATTGCTTTACCTGTATTCTTGTTGACTCCGAGCCTCAAGGTAATAAAATTTGAGTGAGGACTAAGTGATTTAACTAATTATGACAGATGATTTCAAGCCTTGCCACGGGTATCTGTATCTTATGAATTGTGTAGGATCGATTTCTTTCGACATCTTAAATTGATCTTAACATGTTATTTTTTATTATTACACTGATCTTGCACCTCACTGATCTGTTGTAGGTGCATATATTAATTTTCTTAAACCGTTAATTACTCTAGAAAAGCTTTTAATTTACTCTTTATTTTTATCTTTCTTAATTCTTGTTTTCGAAAATTCTTTATAATATAAAGTATGTTTTAAATAATAAAGTATATCAAGTCTATTAATTCGTGCCAATATTAATGTTAAT